CTCACTGCTGACAAGGGAGGACACTGAAGAAGGAAATTCTGAGTCTTTTAACTTGAATAAGAACAAAGTCTTACTTTGAGTTGAACTAAACCACTGGAAGAAAGAGAAACAGAGTTGAAGCATACCTGCTTATTCGATAATCAAATATTGATTATTTTGTTGTGAGTTAATAGTGTACTCTGTTGGCTTTCCCTCATCAGGTTTCCTTGTGTTACTGCAGTCAGCTTCCTTAAGCCAGTCTTAATTTTCTGCAGTGTATGAGCTGAGAGCAGAACCCTGAATGAGGGACAGATTTTCAAGTTATTTCTGTAACACTCTACCATGTTGAAATAGGAGCGAGGCGACATAGTAACTGCCACCGTGGAAATCCTGTTGTACAGCCAGATGGAACCTATGGAGTCATGCTGAGGCAGTAGTAGTCTAAATATTCTAGTAAGCTCAGTCTGGTAACGTGAGGTTTTGCAGCGGTGTGGGAGGTGAAGCTTAAAATGGACAGTGAGCTGAGTGGACAGTGATGAGAAATTAGCAGAAGCCTTGGGGTAGAACTCCTATTTTCCATTTACTGGTTATAATCTCAGAGCTTTAGTTTGAAGAGTATCGTCCCATTTGCTGCCAAAAGTAAGGTAGGGAGAATGTTTTGATGTGCATTTATATGTTTCTCTGCCATCTGTGTTTCCATCAGTGTAAACATGCCCCATAAATTTGTAGTATTTCTAGGACATTGAAGCTAAACAGCATGAAATTGGAGTACAGTGGGCTAGCGTAGTCTGTTACAGTAGCTTGCAGTAGGAAAATACAGTGAGTTTGTCACTAGTAAAAATAGTCCTAATGTAAAATAAATTCTTAATTCAAGATCTCACCTCTGAGGCTTTTTTGTTAGTAATAGCATCTTTTCAGTCTTGACCAATAGCTGATTTTATGGTTTAGGAAGGAGGATATGAGATGATGGAGGAAAAAAGAGGAGCAAACCTGGAAAGAAGTAAGTCTGACTCTGACTTACTCTGAGCATTTCCTAAAGGATCAACTATAAAAGTGTACATCAGTCTGTTGGTAAAGAAGAGATTTCACACGCGCGCACACACACACACTTGTTTTGACTCCCTTTTTCCCTGACCAAGAATGGTGCCCCTTCATTTTCTGAAATGGAAGGGGCAAGTGTCTTTGACTCAAATAGACATTATATAGCTAAGGTGCCTGCAAGCACTGGAATTTGCAGTTAAAAGGAAAATTTCAAAGCATAAGCAGTAAACAAATGTTATGCTTTGTATGCATAGTGTGGTTTTCTTTTTTAAAAGCTGTTGTAGAGTTAGTCTAATGCTTACAAATATGTTAATATTGCACATGAAGTCATTCTGTGTGTTTTAAAGTCAGTAAGTACCGAGGTGGCAGTCATTTTTGGGAAAATGTTTTACAATACTTTACACTGCTCCTGTCCCTTAGCATCTTACTACATTCCCTTATCTTCTTAATCCTATTGTCAACTGTGTTTCATCGTTGTCCTAAAAAAAGGGAATGCTGGTTAGAGTTTTGATGTGTATCTCCAGAGAACTAATGCATCTTTCAAGGTTTTATTTTGGATGCAAGTCTCTCGTTGTACTCGAGGCTTTATTCAGGTGTTTCTTTTAAAAGCAGCTGTCTTTGTATTTCTGGTATCTTCTAGAACAAATATGTCTTTAAGTGAAGTTACTTGGAGTCATCATTCTGCTACAGAAAGCTTGTAAAAAGCTGTTTGAGTTTCAAGCAAGCTATGTTCTCATTAGAAAGATGTCTGAGATTTGAAGGGCATACAGATTTCTTAACTGAGCCCAGTCCAAGTGGAACATACCTGCTGAAACCATTGTGCAACTTTGACTGTGAATGGGTTCATTTATCCGTATATTTGACAGCACATCACATGCAAGTCTTCAGACGGGCCATGCAGTCTTTAGATTGCACCAGAGATTTGGCAATACAGAGAAAGCTGATAGGCTGCCATTAGAAACAATAGTAACCCTAGTGATTGCTGCTGCTTACTGATAAAAAGGTGAAAATTAAACCTAATTTCTTTGGTGAAATGGCAGAAATCCACAGAACCAAATAATACCAGTAGTTGTGCATACTGTATTATTGAGTGGCAACAAGTCATTTGTGCCTTAATATGACTAACTTAAAAACAAGTTCTACTGTGTCAGAATTCAAGACAAAGGGTGTTGGAGTAGCTATCTTATAATCTGCAAGTCTGCAATAATGGGATGTCCTATCCAGTGGAATTTTCTGCTGTTATACATTGAGGTTGTCAGTGCACTTTAATTTTCACAATAGCAGCTGAAATAAACTACCCCTGGAGATCATGCGGTGCTGTTCTTCTGTGGAGAAGCACTAATGTAAACTGTGGGCAGTCTCGACTTGACAGCTGTGCTGACAAACCAAAAATAAAAAAAAAAGATGCTTTTTGCACTAGACAGATGTCGAAGTGTTGGAAATTTTCCAGTGAGAAGCAGAAAAGCTTTATTCTTCCAGTATTTTCATGTCACATGAAGTATGGTTTAAATGAAAGGAATGTTTTCTGATGGGGAATGTTATTGCAGAGCTTTTTAGCATGCAGAGGATTAGCTTGCTAATCACCTCTCTGAGTAACTAGATTCTACCAGTTGTACAGGAAAATTCTTGATGTTGTGAATAGCGAGGCGTAGTGATTAAGGAAAGTAGTTATTATTTTAACTTCATTTTATATATTTGCATGGCGCAAGCAGTGCCAGAATGTCTCCTGCATTTGCATGTATTTTGTTATAGTATTTGTCAAATATAGACATGGCATTCGTTGATTTTTTTTTTGAGAGGGAGAGAGTCATTGTCAAGGGGCTCATCCAAATGGAAAACATGATGAGGTGAAGTTTATATTAAAAAATACACAATATAGAAGACAGTTCTTTATAGCAGAAGTTATACCTGGTATACACTGTGGAGTTTTGTCCTGGAAATTCCAGTCATCAACATCAGTAGTTCAGTAAATGCTGAAACTTGCAAGCAAATTCTTCTCTTGACATAAAACTATAAAGTTGATTTTACAAACCCTTTTCCTTTTTTTTTTTTCTGACACAGTGTTGCATAGCATCTTCTGTCTTCTGTATTTGAATTGTTCATAACCCCTTCATTCTGTTAAAATTCTCATGGATGGTGAAAAGGGCGTTCCTCATAGCAATGCAGTAAGTTAGATTGATTCCTGCTTTCCTCACCATAGTGCAGGGCAGGAAGAAGTGTTGGACGCTTAATCCCAAACTCGTTTAGAGAGCATGATCAAGGATGGCTTGCTTATGGGTTGTACTGCGCTGTTGTATGGCACTGTAAGGCATGCTTTGTGATTCGTGAGGCGGTTGCAGTGTTAGGAATATTTTGTTAAAAAGCGGATAGTCGTGAACATGTCGTCAACTATGTAAAGATGGACTGAGGGTTATTATGGCTGATATTATTCCATGTGTTTGTACTTGCTGCTTTGAGTATTTGATAATAATGGGTGTTTGGGGTTTGTGTGGCAAGGTTTTGGTAGCGGGGGGGGGGCTATAGGGGGGGCTTCTGTGAGAAGCTGCTAGCAGGTTTCCCTTTGT